AGAGTCATTATGAAGTCTATAAAAGGGCATTAAATGAGAGTTACTCATTCCTGTATAAATCCTGTCAGTGTCTAACTCAGTCAATGTCTTCCAGTCAGTCTGAGATAGCCAGACTAATGTTAGTCTACAGACTAAACTATAGGATCCATCGGCTATAGATGGATTTATTGCTTAGTTCATCCACTGACTGGGAAATGACCAGAGGAACGACTTCCTGGTTTTAGCAGCTAAATGCTGCACAGGGAGGCATTTTGACTGCGTGTCTCTTAGAGATATAACGATATTGACATTATCGCGCTATCGCGGTGGTAAACGTGTCTCGATATCGTCGTGGTTGGGTTACAATAATAAAAGGACAGGTGTCCATTAAAAAGCAAGACGATTAAACACAGTCCCACGGAACAAATCATTGTTAACTACATAGACCATGATCCTTTGCGCTGCGTTGTCATCCCAACCAGCCAATAGGATTGCACGCGGATTGCACGCTGTCCTCACAAGCTCAAAGCAAGCTCGCATGGCCGACAGCGATAGTTGTAAGGATTTTCAGTCAGATGTCTGGAAACATTTTGGTTTCGCCGTGTCAAAAAACGCAAAAGGAGAGAAGGTAGTGGACAGACAATGGACTATATGCAAGCACTGCCGCAGTAAACTGCGATACAACACGGGAAACAAAAGCAATATGCAAAGTCATCTGACGGCTCATCATCCAGAAAAGTTTGCAAAGAATTTCCTGTCCGGTCAAAAAACCCTGAAGGAGGCATTTTTTTTCTTCTTGAAATGTAGATCTTTTGATCTTTCTGATGAAAAATGTGAACATAAGCTAACTGATAGGTATTTTATTTAAGTTATGTTCCTAAATACCAGTTTTAAAAGGCTGCTTTTACTTGCCTTGCACATTTAAACCTGACTTAACTCGATATTTGTTTGCACTTAAAGGGATTTCCCTATTGTTTACAATTGTTTGCTTCTTAACTTGAACATTATTCACAGAAGAATCAACAGAATATTGATGTTCCTGACGACAACTTGCACTTTAAAAGCACGATGTGATCAGCGTTTTATGTTGTCATGATCCATAAATACAACAATAAATGGCCTGTTGACTGGCAAAAGCAGAAGAAATGTCAATTTTTTTGCTATTATCGTCACAAACACTATCGTGAGCTATTTAACAGTACTGTGAGCTTTTCCGCAATATCGCAATAAATATCATACCGTGAGATTTTGATATCGTTACATCCCTAGTGTCTCTGTGGGAGTGGGGAGTACCAATATGGCGGACGGTGGCTTCACTTTTTTGGGCAATCAGCGATCCAGTGAATAAATAGAGATCAGTGGATCTGCCTGCTCACACTGCACGGCCAAAAAGCAACCATCGGACTTAAAATATCTGCCTTATAAAAAGAAAAATATAACATTTCTCTTCCTTCAATTTAAAGTGAAGAGTGTTTTTATTTTTATAATCGTTTTTCATTTCAGGTAAAATCGCTCTGGAGAGAGAACGGCTGGAGGTGGAGAAAAAGGAGAGGGAGCGGCGGTTTGAGCTGGAGAGCCAGGAGAGGAAGGTCATTTTAAACCTGCTGAAAGAGAAAGTGCTGACAGGCTGAAGATCTGCCAACATGGAGGGAAGACGCTACAGCTAGAAGATCAGAGGAAGAGTGAGCCACGATCCCAGAATCTGATCCCAGCTCTGTTCGGCTCACCCCGCCTCGCTATACGTCAGCAGTTTGCTAACGTCGCTACTGAAACTGGCTGAGGACATCGCTGCTAGAGTCTAAACCACTGCTGAAACATTACAGATAAGCTGCTGCATCTATGGACTGGAAGAGAACTTTGTTAACCAGATAAAACACTGGTTCCCAGTGGCTCCCATTGGGTTCATCTGCTGGGTTACCAGCTGCTGTCTGGGAGAACACACGTCTGAATGGCTCAGAGCTATTTTTTTTTATTTAAAAAGTCAATAAACGAATCATTTTATTTCAGTGTTAAATTCTGTTTAAAGTAACAGATTAGAATGAACCTTTTTTAGAATCAACCTTTACTGGTTGATCATTTTCTTTAATCGCGCTGATTTTTAATTGGTGACCTAGAAATTAAACTGTAGGTCAGTGATGTCAAAGTCAAATACACAGAGGGCCAAAAAAAATAATGCTGCAAACTGAACCAAGACCTAACATTGTTTTTTGTTTTTTTAACAAATTATCAATTTTATTAATAACCTTTTATCATATTAATAAACGTATTAAGATAAATACATAAAGGAAAGTGCATGCATTATAAACTGAAAAGGCATTACTGTGCTGCTCTATGATCGATCACTGCTTTCAACTAGTTAAATAAGAAAAACAATACTTAAAAAAAAATCACGTCTTTTAAAAAGAAATGTTCAAATTTAGTGATGAATCACAGCAGCAGAGCCAGAATTCAGCCAGAGGTTCTTCAGGCTGATTGAAGCCAGAATAAAAGGAGCCTGGAGGGAGGGAGGGGGCGGAGCTTATCCTGCAGGTGATGGAGACGGACACTAACAGAAAATGCAACATCAAGACAGAAGTGGGTAGATGTCAAAGGTACTTCTGCTGGTTTATAGTCCTCTTAGGGACTCTAAACAATGGAAGGAAATAGATTCTGAACAGATAAATGTTAAAAACAAAGACGCAGATGAGAAGAGTTTTCCATCGTTCAGCTGTTCTTCTGAGGCCTCCATTCATTTAACAAATTGCCCTAAATTATTTGGCTCTTTTATTAAGGTAGCTTTTTATTAATATATATATTTAATAACCACTGCAAACACGTCCTCATTCTAAAAATTCTGATTCATCTGCTGTTTTCACACATTATTGAAACACATTCTACTAATCCTATTCTCACAGAGGTGAGATTGAAACAGCACTGAAATGGTTAAATAAA